CTTCTAGAATCTGCAATCCCAAAAATATAACATTTTTTGTTGTTGAACAAACGAAAATAGGGTATTTTTTGTTGTTGAACAACCAAAAATAGAAATGTTATAGTTTTGTAATACTATTAATAGAAAATTTTGTATTTTTTAGAGTTTGTTATATTTTCTATTACGTAGAATGAGACCATTGGCCTTTGTCATATACAATTAGCACCAAAGTATGATCTCAACCTATTTTAACAAATATGTCACATTTTCTATTATGTATAATGCAAGCACTAATGCGTACATAACACCAAGTACAAAACACAAGATTGGCAATATGGAATTCAAGATCTTCATTAATTCATCAAAATGATAATTCGATACAAAATACCAAAATATAATGCACATAATGATGTGTACATAACATCCAAACGCATTATGGAATTATGATTCACTCCCTAATCGCCTATCGGTTATCTGCAAGTCCTCCTATTATGATCCACGATGCCACATAGTTTGCACTTCAAAGGCCTGATGATGGACTGTTCAGTCTCAAATATTTTTTGTTGTTTTTTTGACAAACCAGGAAGGTGTGTCATCCTTGGTGGCAACGCTGTCCGGTTGAACATACCAGTCAACTCAATATCATCCGGAACATGCCCAAAGGGAGTTTGAAAGAGCCTTTTAAAGTATTTCAATGTAAAATACTAAAGGTAGTATGCAGTGGGATCCAAGTAGATATGGTTAATAGCTGCAATTACATGACTACACAGTATGCCACAAAGTTGTTATTTTCTACAACTGCACGTCCAATAAGTTAAATCAACACCGTACTTCTTCCCAATATAGTAGATCTCAAACTGCGTATCCATGGTGGATATAACTGTGTATAAAAATATTGCTTTCATCTTTAGCAAGTCGAGTAATTCTGGGCTTTCAGTACTAGCATGTGCTCCAACTATTACCTAACTTCCTATTCTCTTCAAACATGGTCATCAATTTCACCCTTAAGTCTTTACACATTGCAATGATCAGCTTCTCTCGAGCAAATAAAATCCAAGCCTTAAATGACTTGGCTATATTAGAGGTAAGATGATTGTATCTTACCCCTGGAAAAAAGGCATCAGCCCAAGATTGGAGAGGGATATTCTTAATCCATTCATATGCTTCTGGGTCGACACATTATATATCAAATACTATTTTTTGAAATCCACCAATGGTCGTTTTACAAACAACCTTCCAAAACAGCATCAACAATAATTCAATATTTACTGACTTCTTCATAAAGCCCTTGAAGTTTTCTCCCATATGTCGTATGCAGAATGTTGGAAAACATGCGGGAAAACATTTTTTTATTGTTTCTGGCAGGCTTTTTTATCGATCTGATACAATTGTTAAGACAAACAAATTAGAAAACTCATTCAATAGCTCACTCAGTATACTTAAGAACCAGTATCAACTCTGGTAGTTTTCCTTCTCGACCACTGCAAATGTCATTGGAAAGAGCTCATTATTTACATCTACAGCAATGATGCACAATAATATGCATTGATAGTTTCCTTCTAAGAATGTCTCATCAATACCCATTAATGTCCTGTATCCATTAACAAAACTCATGATGCATGGACAAAAAGCAATAAATAGTCGTTTAAACCTGCCTTCATCTGTGTGGATGTGAACTTTGGTTCTAGGGTTGATTCTTCGGAGCTTCTCTATATATAAGGGGAGGTCATGGTAAAGGAGCGTTACGTCGACTGTTTACAAAAGATAGGGTGTAAGATTAAGATGAAACAATAATTTCTGCACATAAAAGATTTCAATAAAGCAAATTAGTTATGAAAAAGTAAATTGTAGATGTATCTATTCCTTGCAGATGGATCATCACCAATAGGTTATGTCGTTCGGAATTCCATAGATATATATTCCGGCTCTATTGCAGAGGTAATATATACAACAATACTCGAAGACTCCCCTCCCAACATAAAAGATACATCTATATCATCACTTACATCAATCAATTCAAAGCCACTAGATAGACTTGTGTTGTGGTATATAATAGTCAATTTGTTTGGACCACACGATGTTAAGTTTCCAAAATGACTTTATAGTTCCTCTAATGAACTATTATAGTTCCTCCAATGAACTATTATAGTTCCTCCAATGAACTATTTCCATTATACTTTGTAACTTTCAATTTTCCCCCTTTATAAACCACAAGTCCGTCATCTGGATTCGTCTCAAATGACCCCCCATATCGAAATACCAGTTGCACTCTCTCGGTAACCATCGTCAATACTACTGTATTAAATGAATACAAAAAATTCGTGCTACAAAAAATCAATGTGACAAGGAATACAAAAAATTTGGATATATCTAATTAATGTAGGGTTCATAAGTGTGAAGTTTTACATAATAGATCAATATAGTGTACCACTAAAAAAGTCAACTACTCAATTAACAGCAAAAAACAACAATTATTAATACAATCACAAAATAAATAACAAATATTAATACAAACAAATAAGTTGAACAATATTTACCCAAAACAACAAATACAATATAGTGTCCTACCATATATATATCAACATAATGTACTACCAAATAAATCGCCTGTTCAATAAACTATTCAAAACAACAAATATTACAAATAATTATACAAATAAACAACTTCAACAATATTTACCAAAAAATATTTATTAATCAACAATACACATTAAATAGTAATAAAAAAATATAATATTGTGTTAATTGTGACAAAATTAATCAACAATATTGACAAGAGTAAGAAAGGTATCAATCACGACCAGACAGAGAGCCAATGTCTTCAACTGTATTGGGGGACACAAAAGTTCGTAGGATACTGTATTGGGGGACACAAAAATTTTATAACCCTACATTAGGCATCTGGGATGTCGACAAAAAGTATTTATTAATCAACAAGGAAAATTATCGGTTTTTCAAAAACCGAAATATTTAAATTTTCGATTTTTGAAAAGCGGAAAATTAAAAATTTTTGGTTTTTCTAAAACTTAAAATGTTAAACTTTCAGTTTTTGAACAACCGAGATTCTAGTCATTTCGTTTATTATAAAACCGAAAAGGGTAAAAATATCTTTTTTAAAAAAATTTCGTTATGAAGTGAGAAAAAGGACATTCCAATAATAACATAAACTATTTGATATTTTAATAATAAGGAAACTATAATAATTTTCCCAAAATAAAATGGTGCTAGCAAAAATTTTCCTCACTCCAATATAATCGAAAAATAAAACGGCGCTAGTATAATTTTTCCTCACTCACTTTTTGTCCAATAATACATGGCACCGTGGCCACCTCAAAGGGGAGGAGAGCGTTATTTTCCAATTTCCAAAAAGAAAAAGAAAAATATGTGTTTTTAATAATGAACAAATGAAAAAAGAGTGTACCTTTGCACAAAGAAAAAATGAGAAAAAGTGTGTTTTTCCACCACACACATAGGGAGCAACCAAAGCCCTTCTAAGGGAGACATAGAGGCAGAGATTTAGGTACGGAGCAACTAAGGGTACCAATGGGCTAGGACAGCCTTGGCCCTGGCCCAGCCCTTGTCCTTGTACAGAGTTAGGCCAATAACGAATAATAAATAAATAAAAATAATATTGAAAAAAAAAAGTTGAGCTGGGGACAGACCCGGCTGAGCCAAACCGATACTGGCCCTAACCTAGCCCTCGGGCCACATTGTGGCTCGAGCCCTACTTTTTTAGAGCCCTCACTTTTTTAAAGCCTACGGCCCCCCTGCCCATTACCAATCCTAGGAGAAAGTGAAACCCTTATCCGGATTAGGGTGAGGGGGAGAGAGACGACGGGGAGCAAAGGAATCGATCCCGGAGCTGATGCAAACGTCCCAAAATTTTTGGCTTTTTCAGGTCCAACGTTCGTTAAATAACTCCCCGTGTGGGATGTCGATTTCTCCCGGTCTCTTTCCGTCTTATTCTTTCATATTTTGGTTTGCTTCCATTTTTTCATCACAACTCTTTCATATTTTGGTTTGCATCCATTTTTTCATCACAATGAAACAGCCTTTATGTCAACGACGATCTTATCCCTCCATAATACTAAAACCAGACCAAAGAGCCTTTATGGCCAACGACGATCTTATCCCTCATAATACTTAAAAAAGACCAAACAGCCTTTGTGGTCAACGACGATCTTATCCCTCTAAAGGCCAAGGCATTCAGCAGGTAATACTATGCTCCTTCTGGAACATACGCTATATTTACTCATTTGGACCGAAGCTAATTTACAAGTATGAAATTTTGAGAATCACATTAAAATCACTAGATAATTATGTTTAAATGAAAATTTTTTATTTCTTAGTTTTTTAACCCTTAGATCTAAACTTTCAAAAAAATTAGATGGCTTCCATTCAATCTTGATGCATTTTTTTTTCAAGCCTCTACAATTTGTAAGTTCTTTTATGGGTGTGGCTTCTATATTGGAACTGGTTTCCATAAGGTTGCAAGCTTGCATCCTTAAACAAACCAATTAAGGCACACCTTTAATTTTTATTATAACATGTGATTTTTTTTGTAAAAAATTTTCAAGATCATTTGAAAATTTATTTTCAAATGTAATAATAAAATTTCAAACTTCAAAATAGTTAAAATCAAGTAGATTTATAATCATGTGAAAATCTTAAAAATGAACGGTCTAGATAATATTTTACAAGATGCACTATTTCTGATGCTCAAAATCTTTATTTTTTTTAATATTCATACACCTCGATGTCGGGATAATCAATTAAATGGTTTTTCAACCTTAAAAAAACCTCTCCCGATAGATTTTTAAGGTACGTTTTTAATTCTACATTTTTTAAGTTGTAACCTTATAACCTTTCTTTCTTTTATTGAGTAGAACCGTCCAAAAAAGATTTTGGAGATACTCTTAGATTGGATTTTGCCGAAGGGAGTAAATGAATAGTACATACTCCCTCAGGAGCATAAAATCTTTTGGCACCATCCTGTTTGCTCCCTTATTAGCAGTGCAGGGCAGTTGATCGGAGCACATATTGTCGCCAAAAATGGCTTCTGAAAACACGGTGAACTTCATCCTCAACGGAAAACCAGTAGTGGTTAAAAATCCAAGTCCTTATTCACTCTTGGGTGACTTCTTGAGAGAAGAAATGGGTCTCAAAGGGCTTCAACAGCCATGCAAGCAAGGTGGCTGTGGAGCTTGCACTGTGGTCTTGAGTTCGAGCTCCAATTTATCACCTCTGGTTGTGAATTCTTGCTTGACGCTTCTCTGCTCTGTTGGTGACATGGACGTGACGACCATCGAAGGAGTTGGGAGCTTGAAGCGTGGCCTCGCCCCCATCCAGAAGGCGGTTGTTGATTACAATGCAACCCAATGTGGGTTCTGCACTCCTGGCATGGTAAGCTTGCTTCAAAATCCTGCATCTTCAAGTCACCATTTTCTTTTGTTATTTGTCTCTCTCTTGATCACAGGCTTTTCTCTTAATTTGTCACTTTATTAATGTTTGCTTAGGAGGAATCGTGTAGTCTTTTGGTGTGATAAGTTCAGTTCAAATTTCTCCAGGGATTTTGATTGGGTGCTTGTAGTGTTTCTCTAGACCATATCACTTTCACTTGATTGATGTTTGCTCAGTTGAGTTGAGATGAAATATCGTTTCCTTCCTTTCGTAATGTTTGGTGATGCTTATTGTGTATGAAATCTATTTTCTTGAGGTAAAATAGGAATCTGTTATTTCTGAGTTGAGTCCAAATGGTTTTGTATCTTATTCTTATGTTTTTTGTATTTGATTACACTGTATTAACCGTGATTCGATTAATATTAAATGACATTTTATTTGTCTTCACATGGGCTCTTTTTCCCTCTCTTCTTTCTGCCTTTGTTAATTATGATTGTATTTTACTTCACCATTTGCTTAATTAAGCTGAAATGTTTTCCATTTTTGTGCTTGCTGACAATTAAATTTTACTTGCTTTTTTGCTCTGCTTATTATGCTTGAAATTGACAAAAATTGAGAATTGTGATATTTTACTGAAGGACACGGTTTCTATGAGTCCCCGGACTCATGTATAGAAATGCGCCCCCTCTTAATAGTGTATTTTTTAAATGGATTTTGGCCCTAATTTTTAAGTAATATATAATCTCTAAAATAGAGATTGTTAATATATAAAAATAAATAAATTTTTAAAACTAAAAAATGAAATATTGAAGTAAATATTTGGACCATAGATTTTAAATTTTTTTTGGAGGAGCCACCATTTACATCCATCTTTGAAATGGGTGGTTTATGCTTCAGGGGATGCAAATGTAGGAATGCATCACCCGACGGATATAGCACTTTCCTTTTACTGAATGTATGACATGAATAATGTTTTTTTCACTACATGCAAGTAACATGAATTCTTAATATGATACTTTCAGATAATGAGCATGTATGGATTGCTGTGCAGTAATCCAAAGCCAAGTCCTCAAGAAGTTGAAGATCAAATAGATGGTAATATTTGCAGGTAAGCTTTAGTTTAGATTGAAACACAGTTTACAGCTAAAGTTTTTAGGTTATAAAATTTCATGTGAAAGACAAAACATGTGATTGCCTAGACAAACTCGTATTCGTTAATCTGCAGATGCACGGGTTATCGACCTCTTTTTGATGCATTCCAAACATTTGCTAGTTCGAATAATCAATCAAACGGATTGCCAAGAAAACCATATTCTTGTCAAAAGCTGAGTTTGGATATTGAAGATATTTCAAGGACCTTGCCAAGAAAACTAGTGGTTTCAGGGGAAGTGGTTTTGTGGATAAGAGCACTTACTTTGCAAGATTTGTATGAAATTTTAAGGGCTGATAATCGTAAAAGAAAAGTGAGGATGGTGCGGGGGAATACTTCAACGGGAATCTATCCAAGAGGCAATTGTGACGTACTAGTTGATATTTCTCAAATACCTGCTTTATTGGAGGCTTCTCTTACGAGTGAAGGACTTTCTATTGGTGGGGGAGTTTCAATTTCAAATTGTATGTTGCTTTTGAAGCGGCACAGTAAATTGTCTAGCAGCTATGAGCCTGTATATCATCATCTTAAACGTGTAAGTATGGCATATGCTGCTCAAATTAGACCGGTGAAATGCGTATCTTTCAATTGATATCACATTTGCTTCTTTTGTATATTTCATTTAGGATGTTAGCTAGTATGCATGAGAAATAAAATGTTATATCTTATAGATTATCATAAGATTTTGTTGAAGTGAGAATTAGTCATACTCTGTTTGGTAGGTTATATCTTGTCAATTGCTGCCTGTGCTCATGAACTATTTCATTTTTAGTTTATTTTCCTTACATGCTTTAAATCGATGGTGAGGCATTGAATGCATGTTATGAATCTTGCAAATAATTGACTCTATATACCCATTTGAGCTTCATGTTTTTCGCTTCTTCTAGGTTGCAACTCCCCAAATTCGCAATTTAGGATCTGTTGTGGGGAACTTGATGATAGCACATGAGCACAAAGATTTCGTTTCCGATGTTGCAACAATCCTAATGGCTGCAGAATCAAGGCTTGTCATACATTCAACTTCTAATGAAGTCGAAGTGGTCGCAGATTTGGAGCAATTCTTTAAAATGGATATGGAAGACAAGGTTATTTTGAAGATAATTGTTCCAATATTGTCTGCTGGTTCTCATTTTGTGACAAAAAAAGTAGCATTGAGACAAGCAAATTCTCATGCCATAGTGAATGCAGCATTTAAAATTGAATTGGATCAGAAAACTGGTAATTATTTCTCTATTTTCTTTTTCTTTGAAATATTTAAGTTTTTCCATCAGTATATTGGGTGTGACTATGCATTCTAATTTGCAGTGGATCATGAATTGATACCATCCAATCTTTGTTTTTAACTATTTGCAATTTCCTGCATACACACTTCCGTGTTTTGATGCTACAAATCTTTGGCCAGAAGAAAAACATCTGTGTTTAACATGCATTTAAGAAGTAAGAAAGAAAAGACTTTGAGCCTTGGAATGGAGAGGATTTGGTCCTTATGGGCTTAAGTGTTAAGTTATTGGATGGGATATGTGATGGATCATATACTTCTAATGTGTTTTGCTTTGATGACGGTGGGGTCGATCTTCTTTCTCTTTGGTTTCCTTTGCTTTTTGAAGCCCAAGCATGAGAGAGCCATTGTTAGTGAATATTGGAGAGTTTCAGTTAGGGGCCGTTTGGATGCCTGGAAATATATTGTCTGTGAAATATATTACTAGCGTAATACATTACTGTGTAATACATTACCTGCAAATGGCTTGTTACTGTTTGTGTAGCATTTAGATGCAACCTAGGAAACACATGGCTACTTTGGCTATGTCTGGAAGAAATATGAGAAATGCATTACCAATATTTTACCAGCACTTGCCTATAAACTGTTATTTCTTTCTTTTTTTTGTCACAAAATTCTACTGAAATGCGGAATTAAAGTCATCACATCATTCCAAAATGATTTTCTAATAATATCATCACCATTCCAAAAAGATTTTCTAATCATAACTTGTACCATTCTAAAGTCATTATCACACAATTTCTTACTTATTTTGCATGCCTTCGGCACTTACATGGAATCACACGTCTTCTAACATGATTAGACTTTGATTTCAACATGATAAGTCATTGAAATAATATGATTGGAATAACATGTTTTTATTGTGATAAGCTTTATGTGTATTTATTTTTTATAGAAGTCTTTCAAATGTCTATCTATATAATTTCAAATAAACAATAAATTTATGATACCAAATTAAAAATCTTTATGGTACAAGTTAAAAAATGGAAAGAAGTTTGATTAGTAAACTAGAAAGTTTGGTAATTGCAGTAGAAAAATTTAAGGTATTGGAGGAAACTAAAGAGGTATCTTATTTCAATTGAGCTTTTACCAATCTCTTGTGAGGATTATGTTGGGTGAAATTTTTTATTATAATTGTGTTGTGTAATTTCTTATGTTCGGTGAAATTTTTTATTATAATTGTGTTGTGTAATTTCTTTGACTAGATATGCTAAGGAGAGAGGAAGAATGGAAAAAGTACAGATGAGAGTCTAAGGAGAATGGAAAAAGTACAGATGAGAGGGAGAATGGAAAAAGTACAAATTAGAAAGTAAGGGGGACTAAAAAAAATGATGAGAGGAAGGGCTTAAAGATAAAGGGGCTTGAAAAAAAAGAAGAAAAATTATAAATGAGAAGAAGGGGCTTAAAGAAAGAGGGAGCACCTTATGCATACCAGTTATTAGGGTTGAAGAGAGAGGGGTCGGGCTTAGAGAGGGAGGGAGCTCGTATGCAAATCGAGTAGGCAGGTTGGCATTTTATTAAACTGGGATAGGGTAGAGAGACGCCTGCGAAAGATTTCTAAAGATTACCCGTCAAGCGAGTAATAGATTTTTCACCTTTCACCACACTTAATGTATTCATGGGGAAATCTCAGGTAATCTCTTTCAATTTCTTTACTATAAAGTGTACCCAAACAGTGGAAATGTCATATTTCCTCATAATCGATTGTCATGTAATAGATTTCCAGGTACCCAAATGGCCCCTTAGTGAATATGGTGATGCATTTAAAATAGAAAAGCTTTTGATGAATGGTCTGATTGAGATATGATCCATCTTCTGAGTTATCGGGTGACAGATTAGCCTTGGAACTAATGTCTGCTAGTGTATCCTGTTGCTAGTTTTTACATTTCTTGTTTCTGTAATAAATCAAAGTGCAACTACCTTTTTTGACCTAGGGATATGTCCTGTTGTAACCAGGGCCATTTAATAGTGCTTTTGTGAATTTTCAGGTCATAAGAGTTGGTTGGAGTTGTTGGGTTTGTTGATCTGGTTACACAAATTGAATCTGTGTAGGAATGTGCCCAAGAAGTTCATTTTGTTATGTGGAAATATTATTCCTTTAAATGCATCCCCATGCATCTTGACATACTCTTCTATATGCTACACCTCTATGATACACCAGTGTTATCCATATGAAAGATAAGGTCTTTAGAGGTATCCATAGTACCAAAAAAGAAAAAAACTCTTGTCTATAAATCGCCTGAGGCTTTTTTTTATTTTTCTTTTCGGGGTGCGTCTGTCTCCTTTGTTTGTCTTTTTTAGTATTACTTTCAAATTTCTTTTTAAAAATTTTTTATGTGACATGTTTACTTCTTTTCTTCACTAAAAAACTGGAAATAGAGATATAGAGATAATAATGACGAGACAAATGTTGAAGCAGATAAGGTTTTTTTAGTAGTTTGAAGCAGATAAAGTTGATTAGTAGTGAAAGGATTTCATTGAAAATAGAAAAGATGGATGGGGAGAGAGTGAAAAAGGTACTTCTAGAAAGAAAAAAACTGGATTTTTATGTAATTCCTTAGGCTGTATATCATTAAAAAGAAGGTATAATTATGATTCCTTTGGTTTCTCACAAATTTGATTATGTTATGTTCATTCGTATGGACTTAGGATAAAAATATAGGCGCACTAGAAATGAGTACATGAGATGGTTCGCTTTGATGGTGCTGAGGCCGATCTTGTTTCTCTTTGGTTTCCTTTGCCTTTTGAAGCCCGTGCATGACACGGCCATTGTTAGTGAGTGTTGCAGAGTTTCAGTTAGTGAATATGTTTAAGATAGAAAAGCTTTTGACTTTTGAGGAACGGTCTGGCTGCGCGATGATTCATCTTCTGAGTTATCAGGTGACAGATTGGCCTTGGAGCTTTGTCTTCTCGTGTATTCTGTTGCTAGTTGATACATCTCTTTGTTTCTGTTAGAGATCAAAGTGCAGCTGTTTTTCTCACCAGGGTTTATGTTTCCTATTGTAACAAGGGCCATGTAATAGTGCTTTTGTGAAGTTTCAGGTAATAAGAGTTTGGTCGGAGTTGTTGAGTTTGTGCGCATGCATGGTCTGTTTACATTGTGACCAAGTTGAATCTGTATAGGAATGTGCCTAAGAAGCTTAGTTTGTTATGTGGAAAAATTATCTTAGTTTGTTATGTGAAAAAATTATCTCTTTGATTTCAGCCTCACTTGTCGTGACATACTCTTCCATATGCTACACCAGTGTTATCCATATGAAAGACAAGGGCTTGAGAGATATCCATAGTACAAGAAAAAAATATCCATAGTACAAGAAAAACTTTTATTGATAAATCTTTGGAGGTTTGTTTTTGTTTTTTCTGCTCTGGTTCTCATTTAGGTGTCTATTTTATTGTTGTTTTCATTTCTTTCTTTTTTCTTAAACAAAAATTAGGTGACATGGTCACTTACTTTTCCCAAATAAAAAACTGGAGACAGAGATTATGAAGCTGAATGATAAAGAGAGAAATGTTGATGCAAATAATGTTTTTTTCGGTAATTTTAAGCAAACAAAAATGATGACTAGTAAATCCAAGATTTCATGGAAAAAAAGAAAAAATGGATGGAGAGAGAGAGAGAGTGAAAAATGCACTTCTAGAAAGAAAAAAAAATGGATTTTATCAAATTCCTTAGGCTGTTTATCATTAGAAATGGTGTCCAATTATGCTTTCTCACAAATTTGTTTCTGTCACGTTCAAGATGGACTTAGGATAAAATATAAGCACTAGATATGAGTATGTGGGGAACATCTTTAGATGAAAACACAAACTCCTAACTCACCCAACGGTGCCCCTCCCCTCCCCTTCCCCAACCCCACCCCTGGAAAATAAATAAATAAATCCCCACCGCCAAACAACCACCACACACACACACACACACAAAAAGTTAAGGAAAATATAATTCTCAACTAATAATAAATGAAAATAACATGAATGACTCTAGAAAAATGGAACATTCACATTCAAATGTCTCAAAAATATGATACTACAACATTGCCTTGTGTATCATTCTTCATAAAATTAAGGTTCCAATAGCACAGTGTAGGGGTTGATACCTATCCTCTCTGTTTATATGTTAATTGTTAAATTTCTTTGACCTTTTGTTTATAGGATACTAAAAAATTTTGCATTTATTTGTTCAGGTTTAGTGTTGAACTTGCCAACTATTGTTTATGGTGGTATCATGCCATATCCACAACGTGCACGGAACACTGAAAAACAACTTATTGGAAAGTCTTTTTGGGATCCGAAGGTGATTAAATTCTTCTTTGCATAACCCTGCTGGTAATTATTTAATTGTATAGTACTGTTCCAACTTATCTCACACAGCAAATATATTTAGCTTGATCCAATTGTTACTTTTAGAAGTATTGAAGTGGTTTACATTGAATATGTATTGCAGTGGTAAATGGATCATATTTATTGTTTCCTTGAAACTGTCTAAGATACTGCATATAAATTCTACATATGTTTTCTTGATTGAGTGATTTACTTGATTGTTTGACTTGTAGTAACTTTATGGTGAATTCTAGCTGTCGAGCTGATGATCTCAAGTTTGATCTTAACGAACCAAACAAGGGAAAATTATGTACGGACACTATTTCAACGCGTTTCAATGGGTTACATTTTTCCAAATATTATGCAGAGACCACCCCCCACTTGCTGCATTTTTTTTTCCATTGTTGCCCGTCTGTCCAGTATTTCCAACACCGGACAGGTGGGATATCCCCCATTTTTTAATTTTAATTCACCATCTGTTCGTTATAACTTACTTCAAACAACCACTTCTTTGGGCCTATTCGGTTTTTTAATGTCGTACAGCCAAGTTCGTTGGGTGTCTGACCTTTTCAATACCGGATAGGGGCGTGTTTTTATAGGCTGTATATTAGACTTCCCAGGTCCCCTTCACCACCCAAACACGCTGCCCTCTCTCTCGCACCAACCTCCTGTTGATCTCTGCCCTTGCCCTTTTCGCCCTCCAATATCTCCACCCAAATGGCACTGCAAAAACACCATCCAAAATACATTCAAAAAGCTCGAAAAGCCTGAAGTCTCCCTTTAATCCCAAAAAAGACTCACAAAACACAGAGAAGGTGAGCCTCTTCTTAGAATCAAAGAGTTTTACAGAGTTCCCATCTCACCAGTGCGTCTTGAGAGTGGCTGAAACCTGTCCACAAGTTACAAACATGGAGAGATTCATGCCATGCTCGAAGGCAGCCTTGATGAGGATATACATAACCGCAAGAGACAAACTAAAAACCATTTGACAAAGAACAGGGCCATATCCTCCCACTCCCATCTCTCTATAAAACATCTCACTTTCTCTCTCTCTTCCAATGCTGGGCCTCAAGTTGGAGAGATGGGATATCCCTTTTTCTCTCAGGTCTTTCACCATTTTATAGTGGCAATAATAAACCATTTGACAACCGATGTCAATGAGATGCGATAGAATCCCCTCCCTCTCTTTCTTCTTTTTGTTAGTCCTGACTCTTGGTTCCTACTGTTACTGGTCTCCGGTTGGTGAATCTATGATTACTCTCTCTCTCGTTCCCTTTTGTCACAAATATTATCTTCGAACCACGTGGCCAGCCAGGTGTGATTTAGGTTCCAAGTCATACCCGCTATTCATGAACTTGTTTGGACCGCTTAAATGCAACAAATTCAAATGGGTTGATGGGTCAGTGAAAACACACCTCTATCCAGTATTGACAATGCCGGACACCCAACGAAGTGGGTTGTCCAACATTAAAGATACGGAACAGACCAAGAGGAGTGGCTGTTCGGTGTTGGTTATAATGGATGGATGGTGAATTAAAAAAAAAAGAAAAAGAAAAAAGTGTGGTACTCTACCTGTCTGGTGTTAGAAATGCTGGATAGAGGGGCAATTATGAAAAAATAAAGGGGCCACAGGTGGGTTGTGGTCTCCACGTAATGTTTGGGAGAATGTAAACCATATGGTAATAAATGCGTTGAGATAGGGTCCATACGCAATTTCCCACCAAACAATATCATTTGTTAGTTTTTCCAAATTGTGGTGACAGTAAATTTTGTTGATACTCTCTTTCCAAGCTTCAATAAAATTAGTAAGCTTCCGAGATAACCTGCAAGAAATAAATTAGAGCTCAGATTTGGTGATGGTTTGAGCATGGAATTATGGCCGTATTTCAGGATTCATTATACTATGAAGTTATTGAGATTGTGGGAGTAATCAAATATTAAAAATTTATTGCAAAGAAAGAGATCAATGATTCAATCAAAGAACTAAACCCACGTAAAATAAAGTGACCTTTTTTATATAATAACATTATTTGATCTATATCACTGAAACTATTTACGTAGTACGATGTGTATGCCTCGCAGGTTTTTGAGAAGAGTTTGCTTGAATTACATAAGGAGTTGGTTGTAGATCCTTCTCTTGGACGCCCCAAGTACCGTTCTATGTTAGTGAATCACTTCTTTTACACCTTCGTACTTTCAACCTATCCTAAGAATGCACTCCCTCATGAGTTTTTCTCGGCTGTGGCCCAGGTATGAAACAATTGAAATTTTTGCTGCCTAGTTTTAGATTGTGATTAATATATTGAACCTGATGCTTTCAGGAAATTCGTCCTATTTCACGAGGATCTATAAGTTATGGATTGGTAAGAGCTTGGCAGTTTTAGAAGGGCGAATATATTAGGTCACTCTGTGTAATAAAATGATGGATGGTGTTGCAGTTGGGGGAGAGAGAGTGGGACTCATCAGAACAAGAAATAACCCCAATGGTGGATCCCACCCTATCATCATCACCCATCATTTCATTGAATGGGTGATTTTTTTTTTCATTGACTGCGTGATTACTCAAATGAACTTTGGTTTCCCAAGTCCATTGGTATTCTATACATCCTTTGTGAAATATTAATGTGTCTGCATCTATATGATAATTTCTTGAACTACTTTTCATTATTATCTCAATTATCGATGGATGTAATTAGGGGGATCCTTCTGAATACCCGGTATCACTGGCACTTCCAAAAATGTCTTCAGCTGGCCAGGTAAAATTTCACATTCCCTGAGATTCCTCCTATTCTGTCATTAACCTGCATTTCTGGTTGTCCGAAAGGATTCATCAAATATTTCAATTAAAAAATATGCATGTGTTATCTCAAATATTTCAATTTAGTGTAAAAAAGCAGCTTTCTTCTTAAAAACTCATCATTACCCTTTGTGGGTTTCATACTTTTTGAATTTTTACATGTTTCGTTGTATCTGACCTGCTAATGACATCATTGCATGGCGACTGCATCCAAATTCCATAAATTTGAATGAAAGTAAATGGATAGGAGGAATAGCTAAATTCTTAACATAATAGCAATGGATTAATTTTGCGGCTTTTATATATATCGTTCACATCACATCAATAATGTGCACAGAGTTAGATTAGATCTCTTTCAAAAATTTGAAATACCTCATTGATGCTTTCTGTGGAAAAGATGATACTTCTGTTTCAAGAGAATCGCGTATTTCTCATGTTAATTTTCTAGGGCTATGCTGGAGGAAACATTCGTTCAGTATGAGCCATTGTCTTTGTTACATATGATTAAGAATATAAAATGTCTTTATTGTTTTGTTAGATCATTTAACTTTCTAGTATGAGTTATTTTATGTGCAGCCATGCTAAACAAAAGTCATGAACATTGCCTGATAATGTACAATTGTGTGAGGAATCTGTTTAATTTTTAATCCATTGAACACAAATACATATGATTATCTAAATGAAACATATGACCAGCTGTAAATAGATGGAAATAAGCAATGTCTTCCATAACTTCTGAAATACCCTCATCATACAACAATAGTATTTCTATCACTTCCATCAGGTATGTTTTGAGATTTGATATTCAGGTCATGCTTTGAACTTGGATTTTTTTCTTTTTCCTTGGAGCTGTTGATTGATTCTGAATTTTTGTGAATTTTTATTTCAGGCAACAGGAGAAGTTGAATATATGGATGACTTAAAGTTTAGTAGCTTACATGCTTCTTATGTGCTGTCAACTGTTTCTAATGCCATCATTGAGAACATTGATGCTTCAAAGGCTCTTAAATTAAAAGGCGTAGTTGCATTTCTTTCTGCAGCAACAATTTCTGCCGATGGATTCTCCAACTATGTGAGGTATGCTCTTCATTGCAAAGAGAAACCCTCAGTTGTTTTGAAAACCTGGCCACTTGAATGTTTTCCATGAGGGGAACGAGTTACTTTCAATCTTGCTGGTGCATGGACCTTTCTTCTGAACCAGTCATTAGAAAGCCGGACTAAGGTGGGGACTCTCTAGGGTCTCAAACGAGTCACCTGGGCTGGCTCGAGGAGTCTGAATCATAATGGGAGTTTTTAATAAAAAAATACTAAACAAAATGGAAGACTCAGGTGATTCCAAGGTTTTGGCCCGGAATCGCCTGGCTCCCTCAGTGACCTTTTAATCACTGTTCTGAACACTAAACTGAAACTAATGAAATTAATTGAAAAACTGAAAGTTTCAGACTGAAAAATGGACTCTGGTATATCAACTCCTTGGTGTCATGATCATCCATTGAAATGGTTAACAGTGATGGACAAATGGGACTCACCATCACAGGACATGTTCCCAATGGTGGTCTTGCTTTCTATCCATCACCATTCATTTCATTCAATGGTGAATGGTCTATGGTTCTCAATGGTTCATTGGATTGCAGTATATTTTCCCAATGGTGCGAAACACTCTCTTATCACTGTCCATCATTCCATGGATAGTGATGGCCCCAATGAACTACGGGTTTCCATAATTGGTAAGAGATTATAGTATGCTTTTCCTTTGTTTCCTCTTCAAAGTATTCTTGTTTTTTCCCTTGCTGGTTATGCTTTATTGTGAAATTCTCCTTATGATTGTCATCTTTAGATGATCTTTGTGGCCTATTGTAGTGATTATGAGACTGTTTTTGCTGCCAATGAAGTTCAATATTATGGCCAAGCTGTTGGCTTAGTCGTAGCAGAATCTAAGGTGGGGGCTTCATAACTGACATCTTCATTTGCTTTGTTCATTGAAAACTTCTTGGTATTGATTCTATTTGTAGAACAACTCATTTTTTACCTTCTTGATCTAGTATTGTTCCCATTATTATTAAAAACAAAATTCTCTTAAACCTTTAGCCCATGTTACTGTTCTGTTACCTTGAATGGGGAGTTTGTGTCAAATTTTTTAGTGACTAGTGTTATAACTTGAGGCATTTTTTTCTTCTTTTTTTTTTGATGTTGTAACTTGAGACTTTTTTTCTTTTTTAGTTATCTTCTCTATATTGCCATTTGAAGACATTTCCTCTCTATATTGCCATCTGACGAGATTTCCTTTGTGGGGGGGGTAATAAGCTGTAAGAATTATACATTTGCACTCTTGGGGACTTCAATATGGTTAGAAAATGGAAGGGGTCTCGTTTGTTGTTCCATTTGGGACTTGTTGTTATGTGACCAATGTATCAAGTAAGACAAAAAATGCCTTGCATGTTTGTGCGGTAAAATTGTTTTAGTAATCTAGTTGTTTATTTAGGATAAAAACTTGGATGCAACTTAGTACTTAATCGTGGCCATGCTTAACTAAGCAGAATAAATGGAAAAAGTTTGATGTCTTTTGAACCAACGTTCTAAATTGATAACCCAAGCAGTTGAGGTGCTCTAATGGTGATTCTTTTCATATTTGCCAATTTGGAAATTCTTGCCCATCCAGTGTGATTAATGAAATCCTTCGAACGTTGGGCAGATTGAACTAAACTTTAAGACTACTAGCAGGTTTGAAAAGTGGCAATGTAGAATCTCAAGTTGTAAATTCAAAATTTTATTTCTTTCTATGCTGGAAATTCTACTTACAAGTGCCACAATTACAACAAGGTAAGCCTGCTACAATCTAAGTGTAAGCTTTTGTATTTGGGGTTCTATACAGTCTCACGCATTTCATCTGACCTTTATCTTCTTGATTAGGCTTCTTTTTTCCAAATTTCCAAGGTCCACTTCCCTTATTGTTTATAGGAGCTAGTGAGGCTGAAGCAAGTTGATTGACTACTTTTTTTGGGTAATTAGTTGATGGACTGCTTGAGCAGGCCACATGATGCTTTTTCTACTCCTCATTTTTGATAAAGGAATATACCTGGTTGAGGATGGAAGAGAATCCCTAATGAGTATTTGAAGCCTAGGTAACTCAAACTCGGGGTTCAATCCCGCCAAGAACTAAAAAATACAGTGTTTCTCTAGAAAGTTCTTGTATTTTTCCCCATCTTCATAACAGGTTGACTTAAACAACTGGTAATGGTCCAACTCCTACGTACTATGAAGGAGAAATATGCAGCAAGAGACCTCTCCCCCTATCGAAGATGGGATATTTCCTATCTTAGTAGATACACTGGAGCCAAATTTTTGCTTTGGGAGTATGTTTGATATACTGAGTCCCAAATTTCTCCTGTTGTTTGAAGGAATAAGATGCTCGTTCTAATCAATGGTTGCAAAGAGTGTAATAACTAAGACATTACGGTCAGATTTTGAGTTTCCCACTTTTCATGTGAGGAATTTGTCTCTTTGGGTTCAAGAATCTTGCATTAATGTAACCCCCAGATTTCCCCTTCCACTAGTGAGCAGTTTTGCCGATTGTGACTAATCTAAATAATTTATTCTGCCGATTGTGGCTAATCTAAATAATTTATTCCATCAAGTTTGATAGCCATAATCTTTGTCCAGGACTCCAGGTTTATCTCCATGGATACCCCTATGGGAGGTCTCACCTAGACTCAATAGATGTATAGGAGTCACTAATACAGCAGTAATAGACATGCCAACCACAACGCAGGTCGTACAAACTAAGAAAATTTGCTAATCAATCAGAAACTTAAAAACACGCTACTTAACACAATCAGCAACTCAAGTTCACTTCCCACAGGGGTCCAAGACCATCCATACAACAGATCTCGATAATGACGTAGTCTCACAATTCAAAAATATGGGTGTGACATACAACATCATCAAATCATCCAACCAGATCTAGTTTTTTTAACTTCATTCTACCCAGTTCTAGAGTTTTTAAGTTATCGCAACCAGATATGAGGTTTTTATTTGAAAATCAAAAACTTAAAATCAGGGTTTTAAATTCCATTCTTGCTTTTTTAGATTTAGGGTTTCTGACCATGCGGCTAATGGAGACCCTCGCATGGTTAGTAGATGTACCATTTTGCAAGAACAATGCCAAAGTCTCCTGCTCTAGTACCAAGTTAAAATATACAACAGAAAAGAAGAAGACGAATGAGGGAGAAGAGGATAGAGAGAGAGAGAGAGAGAGGAGAAGAGAGAAAGAGAGAGGAAATCACATTTCACATTGAGGCAAAAAATAATAGAAGATAGGGAGTCATGCTGGTAACCCTTTTCTTCTAATATTATATTATTAATATTTACTCGTATACAATGATGTCTTTTAATCCGACCTCAATTAGTTGGGAGAAGGCTTTGATGATGATGATACAACTATATCCTCTAGTGAGGGTAAAGACAAATAAACCCTTAAGGACTTAAATACAATAGAAAAGAGTATGAACTTTAACGTTCACAGCGTTGCTTGTCCAGTCTGGATGTAATAACACCGCTTGAAAGCATTGTTTGTACTTGGTGTGATAAAACATGAACTGAAATGTCTTTGATAGGACAGATATTTTAAGCTGACATTTTTTGTTTCTTTGGTTACATATCTTTTTCTTTTCCAGTTGTTTTCTTTCTCGGCTAGTTATCTTCTTGTTTCTTTCTTTTTGTTTTTGTTTTCTTGGGACTACTTATTTAGATTGGAAAGCTTTTGTAGGCTGTTGCTGATAAGGCTGCTGAGATGGTTGTAGTCAGATACAAAAACATCATGAAGCCTGTTCTTACAATTGAAGATGCCATCAGTGCCAACTCATTCTTTGATTCCAGATCCATTGATTTCACGAAAGGTTAGTTTTTGCAGAACATATTGTGCTCCTTGCTGTTGAATCAATTGATGTGGCTTGAGTTACATTGATTTATACTTGTGACATTTAGCGGTAATGTCATGATTGTGAATTATGCTGCTTAATACACAGTCCAAAGGACTTTTTCGTAATATAAAAGTCACTAGATTGGGTTTGTATTGGTTTTGGATAAATGAAAGTCACTAATTTTGTGTTTGCTCATTTATAAAAGACTGTTGAACAGCAGATAATTTCTTGAAAGCAATGATTTATTTGATTTATTTACTGTGTAAATCAGGAAACGTCGACATTGCATTTGGAAATTCTGATTTCATTCTTGAAGGAGAGGTATAGAGAACAGGCTGTATTTGAAATTCCATTTCTTATTAGGCATTAGATCATTAGGTTTCCAAAATTTAAAAATGATTTATTTTCAAGATAAGGAACATTGGCAAGCTTTTTCAATAGCAAGAAAGCTGCGCTTTTAGCGATAACAGTGATGTTTGTAACTTAAAAGTTGAATTTTACAGGTCTATGTTGGGCATCAATACCATTTTCATCTAGAAACACAAAGGGCATTGTGTATTCCTGGTGAGCAAGGATGCATGGACATATACTCCTCAACTCAGAATCCTTCTCTGGTAAGTACTTTTAAATCATTGAACTGTAATCTGGTTGATTTTACTGAAACAGATATTTTATTCTCATAGCTTGTATCACTTGTTTTAGGTTCAACAATGCGTCTCTGTGGCTTTGAACAGGCCACAACACAAGATCACTGTGAGTCTCAATATTTGTGCAGAATATTTCAACTCTTCTGCCTAAATTCATCTTAAAATTACATTAGAGTTCTTAAGAGAAATCATACACAATCTAGGGTACTATAGAAAAAACAGTCCATTGGGGTCACCCTGTCCATTTCAATGGACTCTTTGGAGATAGTGGGACCTACCATGGGGGTCAGAGCTTGTTCTGTTCCACTATCTCCATGACCATCAATTTTATTAAGCCACTTCCCAATCGAGTATGGTTTTTATGTTATCCAATACTTTCTGTTTGTCTAATTGATTTCACTGTTTCCTCTAAATATGCTATAGGTCAATGCTTTTTTTTTTGGGTGAATGCTATAGGTCAATGTTAAGCGTGTTGGAGGTGCTTATGGTGCAAAATTGAACAGAACGCCTCCTGTTGCTATGGCATGTGCTATGGCTGCTGATTTGCTTCAAAAACCTGTTCGTCTCATTCTTGATCTACGAGCAAATATGCAGGTTTCTTCGTCACCATCTCAACTTGTGATTATGTGCATATGAAAACCGGGAAAGGTATCATAACATAATAGACTAAGGACCTCAGTCCATTACTCCATTTGGGTTAATGTAGTCCAATAAACGGATGGATGATGATGGAGAGAGAGTGAGGCCCACCTTGGGTTTCAATATTGTTGATGGCTCCCATTGTCTTTCCATCTCCATCCATCATTTCGTTGGATGTTGACCCAATGGATAGTGGGTTTCCGTAGTCCATTGTATTGGATTATACTTTCCATAAGTTCAATTCAGAAGTATCACACCAAATATATATGCACTACTTCCATGTGTTTGTTAAGTCTTAATATGATTACTGGTGCCATGCCTACTGTAAAATCAATCTGTAGCTATTCTTTAGTTGTACACGGACTGGTTACCTCTCTGCCTCCTCAGCACAAACTTGAAGTGGTACATGTGATATTTTCAATATACATAACTGAAATGGCATTGTATAGGATTGATTTGTCTCTCTGCTTATAGGTTGTTGGGTGCCGTAGTCCATACTTATGCCAATATAAAGTTGGAGCTAGAAAGAATGGGCAAATTACTGCAATCCAGATGAAAATTTTCAATAACCAGGTTTCTTTCATTGCCATCCTGGTTTGCACAACTTATCAATGGTGTGGATCACATTCAAATCAAACATGTATTTTAAGATTCTTAACTGAGAATCTACAAATAAACTAAACAACTCAAGATTTCTGTTCTATACTACGTTCCACTTTTTAATGAAGGTGATTGGAATTTAGTTTTGTAATTGATTGTTTGAGAAAACTCTTTCTGGAGCCTCATATATATCAGAAACGTATTCATAGTTCATTTCTTGCATCTAATACAGGGTTCGCACTTCGATTTTGAGTACCCTGATCTCAGTGGTCTCACCTCGTTTATTGATGGTTGTTATAATGTTAGAAACTGGAAAATTGAAGGAAAGATAGCCCGCACGAACTTGCCGGCATGTACTTATATGAGGGGGCCTGGTAAGTATTCTCAAGTTTGGCTTGTTGCTTGTGTACTGCCTTGTTAACTATATTAAAAATGTGGCCATTGCTTTTCATTTATATGAAGAAGAAAGAATTGTTAATCTTAGGTCAAATATATCAGGCAGCACCTGGAGCTCTTCCTATGATTATGAACATGGTCTAGTTGAGCTCATTGGGATATTTGAGAAGATTGTTGAAGTTTACAATTACTGGGTCTGGTGGAGTGCACCGATAGTCACTTTTCTTGACCTATTGGTACCGATCCACTTCTAAAAATTTTGTTTTCAGCTTAAAAAAATGTTTTTGTGACTTTTAGAAAAAATTTCAGAATTTTTAAAATCATTTTAGATGTATAAATCCCTAAAAGGGTAATGTTCTAAAATTCTTGGGGTCTGTTAGTGGGACACATGTGGAGATGGCCAAGCTCCAACACATGGGGGACCCACATGGGGTGGAACCTGGGGCTCACATGGGCCACATGCCCCATGCTAGGTGGGACGCCCCACATGGAGGATGAGGTCTCCATTTGTTTGGGAAACCTCCCCTGAGAGATTTTGTGAGAATATTATTTTTAGTTTTTGTTGGAGAGAATCTTGAGAAAATCTTTGAGAAATATTTTGTGGGACTAGAGGATATTTTGTGTTTGGAAAATGTTCTTTCAATCTTTGAATTTGACCAAATCATTTTTACTCTAAATTCCTACAATCTCTTTGTGAGAGAAGAGGAAACTTTAGTCAAAATAGAAGATGAGATTTGACTGGTCTTATCCTAGGTTGACTAGAAGTGGATGTCAGCCAAAGATTCAGGGGATAAGGTTTCTGAATTCCTTCTTATTTCATGATGATTGAGTTTTTGGAGTTGGATGGCTCATTTTGTTTCTATCACCTAATAGATTATGTAGGAGTCCTACATTCGAGAGGAATTCTAATTCAAAAAGGCATACTTGGACTCCCTTGGAAGTTACAAATAGAGGGCGCCCCACCTCATTCTAGCCATCTCAATTTCCTTGTCTCTTTCTCTCCTCTCTCTTCTCTATTCTGTCCCTAAGGGAGTGGCATGCAATCCCCTTGTTAACTTGGGGTGGCATGCCCATCTAAAGGCAAGACAGAGGGGCACACCCGGCCCACTTAGTTAAAGGGAAGCGCCACTAAGGTGGCATGCCCTAATAGTCTCAAAGGGATATAGAAAACTCTAAATCTAGCCTATGCTCTCTAAACCGTGAGAATTAAGCAAGGCCATTAGGATCAGTGTGTGCCACCAGTCAAGTAATCGGCAATGGGGTGTATCAAGTCCTAAGGGTGTGACCCTAGGCAAAGTCAAGTAAGTCTTCCCGACTGATATTGGTTTATTTTTCAGTCATTATTGCAAAAATTTATTGCAATTTCCAGGAACATTATTTGTAATAGAATTCTCAGTTAAAGTTTGTATTCACCCCTTGAATTAAGTCATATTTAGTTGGCTGCAAAAAGAAATATCCTAGGTTATATTTAGTGTTCTTTCTCTCATTTAAAGCATTTTTTTTGTGGTCCATGTAAGTGGAATTCAATTATTAATAAAAAGAAAGGAGAATACTTTTTATTTTATTCCCTTGAATTCCACGTGGTCCTTTCTTTCATCATGGTCACCATAATCAGCTGCCAAACCATAGTTGTTGGATCGGGAGCACAATCGGGATCGAAGTGGGGATTGTGAAAGGCTGGAAGATCCCTATGGTTGGTAGTGTCTTTCATACAATCCGTATGTTAGGAATTATAATCAACAAATGTTAGGGATCTTGATCCCAACCTTTCGGGGATCTCAGACCCAAACTTTAGGGATCTCAATCCCAAGCTTCAGGGGATCTTGCTTCCAACTTTAGAGAGTATATATAGTCTAGTCATCAAGTGATACAAGTATACTAGAAGTAAAGTTGCATTTTAAGTTGATTATAAATAAAGAAAATCATCAATTTGGTTGTTATATTGGTCTTTAAGGTGGGGATCGAGATTCCAAAATTTAAGAATCGAGCCCCTTTCTTGAAGCACCGGATCAAGATTCTGGAGAGGGGCCACCTAGTTTCAAAGATCCCAACAACTATGAACACACCCAGAGCCCAATAGCACACTGGTTCAAAAACATTTCCCAAACAAGTTTCTTGATAAGCTATGGAAGGTCTCACTCTCTACCATAATATGGGCGACTCGTAAAGAAAGGAACCGATGAGCAGAAGAGAATCAGAATCATTCCATCCAAGCACTACTGAGGGAAATTGCCTGGAAAATCTGAGGTTGTATCCCAAACTCCCACACGGCACCTTTGAGCATTAACTACACGCTTCTCATTTACAAGAGATGGGATTTGTCCCCGTCACACCGAGAGCTTTGATTCCTTTGATTATGTAATTTAAGATGCAATGAGGACACTTGTACATTGTGAGCTTGTAGAGAACGCTTTGCACTTCAATCTTGTTCTTGTATGCTTCCTCAGTAAATTTTTCACACATTAATATATGGGCCGGTTGCCTGCTCAAATCCCAAACTTTGTGAAAAAAATTATGGTGGGCTTCAGGTGCTGTCTTAATAAATTTCATAGCTGTCTTGACAAATTCCCTAGAACTTATCGCTCTAAATATTGGAACTGCATAAAACGAATTTAAGAATTAAAGTTGGTGTTCATTTGAGATAAGCCTAATATGTTACCTTCTAAATTTTAATGGCCCACTTCCTTCATAATAACAACGTATTGGAAATTTGCATGAATGTGAAATAGTATTTGTGGAGACTGCTGTAATGATCGAGACAATTTTGGAGCATGTTTCAAAAGAAGTTGGTATTCGAGCCGAGATTGTTCGAGAACTCAACATGTATGATAAAGGAGATGTGACAATATGTGATCAAAATCTTATTGATTGCAATGCAAAGCTTGTTTTCCATCATCTTCAGGTACATGGACTTCATCAAAGAATTATATTACAGTGTCTAGTCTAAAAGGCAGCAAGACATTTATAACTGCAATAAAAGAAAATGTTATTTGCTTTTCTTATTATGATCTATTTTCTTATCGTAGCTTTTATCCGTTTTCCTCTAGGGGAATCTAATGCTTCCAAAACCATCAAAAGTTTGCTAGAATGTGTGGACATATTAATGAAGCTCTCATTGTTACCTTAACAATTGCCAGAATGCTCCTTTTATAGCTTGTGCTTTTCTAGTGTATCCCCTGATACATGTGCCTTTTTTTTTCTCTAGTATTAGTAGAGAACTATAATACCCTTTGCTTTTTTTAAAACTGAAAAAAAATTGTACCAACAAAAAACCCAAAGAATTTGTTAGTTACCAATGAAGTTTACCACTCAGGAATCTATGGACAGTAAAACTATTTGAAAGAAAATTACTCTCTCTCTCTCTCT